GTAGGGGTCACAGTGTAGGGGTCACGACGGGTAGGGGTCACAGTGTAGGGGTCACGACGGGTAGGGGTCACAGTGTAGGGGTCACAGTGTAGGGGTCACGACGGGTAGGGGTCACAGTGTAGGGGGGTCACAGTGTAGGGGGGTCACGACGGGTAGGGGGTCACAGTGTAGGGGGGTCACGACGGGTAGGGGTCACAGTGTAGGGGTCACAGTGTAGGGGGGTCACAGTGTAGGGGTCACAGTGTAGGGGGGTCACGACGGGTAGGGGTCACAGTGTAGGGGGGTCACGACGGGTAGGGGGTCACAGTGTAGGGGGGTCACGACGGGTAGGGGTCACAGTGTAGGGGGGTCACGACGGGTAGGGGTCACAGTGTAGGGGGTCACAGTGTAGGGGTCACAGTGTAGGGGTCACAGTGTAGGGGGGTCACGACGGGTAGGGGGTCACAGTGTAGGGGGGTCACGACGGGTAGGGGTCACAGTGTAGGGGGGTCACGACGGGTAGGTGGTCACAGTGTAGGGGTCACAGTGTAGGAGGGTCACAGTGTAGGGGTCACAGTGTAGGGGGGTCACAGTGTAGGGGGGTCACGACGGGTAGGGGTCACAGTGTAGGGGGGTCACGACGGGTAGGTGGTCACAGTGTAGGGGGGTCACGACGGGTAGGGGGTCACAGTGTAGGGGGGTCACGACGGGTAGGGGTCACAGTGTAGGGGGTCACGACGGGTAGGTGGTCACAGTGTAGGGGTCACAGTGTAGGGGGGTCACAGTGTAGGGGTCACAGTGTAGGGGGGTCACGACGGGTAGGGGTCACAGTGTAGGGGTCACGACGGGTAGGGGTCACGACGGGTAGGGGTCACAGTGTAGGGGTCACAGTGTAGGGGGGTCACGACGGGTAGGTGGTCACAGTGTAGGGGTCACAGTGTAGGGGGGTCACAGTGTAGGGGTCACAGTGTAGGGGGGTCACGACGGGTAGGTGGTCACAGTGTAGGGGTCACAGTGTAGGGGGGTCACAGTGTAGGGGGGTCACGACGGGTAGGTGGTCACAGTGTAGGGGGGTCACAGTGTAGGGGGGTCACAGTGTAGGGGTCACAGTGTAGGGGGGTCACGACGTATGGACATTATTATTGGCTGGAGCCTTTAATTTCCTTTGTATGTCTTGCAAAAGTAAATGTGTACATAAGATGATAGTGTACATCCTATGTATGTACAGTTTTGTACACATGTTTGGACGTGTTCGTCAAGTTAACTTTTATTGTGTACACAAAGTGTACATAGACAACATTGTCCGTACACAGTTGAGTATTAATGTCTCCCCCACGAGGTGAGGATGGTAACCCAGCTCCTGGACCCGGCTCATACCACATTATATTTCATCTCTTATGATATGTTTGATTATAGTATCATTGTATTGGATTGTAAAATGTATTATAATAGACGTCTAGTATACCTGCTGGAGGGGGGGGGGCTGGGAGTACTTCCTGCCCAGGGCCAGGTTATCTTGAGATGATTTCGGGGCTTTAGTGTCCCCGCGGCCCGATCCTCGACCAGGCCTCCACCCCCAGGAAGCAGGCCAGTCTTGGCTTGTGACAATGTCTGGTTCTTAAAGGTATAACACACACATGTCATTTTACCATGACATACCTTCATTGTATTAATAAGGTTTGTCATACCTTAATCGTATTAGGGTATGTCATACCTTAATCGTATTAGGGTATGTCATACCTTAATCGTATTAGGGTATGTCATACCTTAATCGTATTAGGGTATGTCATACCTTAATCGTATTTATTAACTTTATAAAGTTAATTAAGTCTCTAAAGACGATGCCGTATTTATAAAGTTGATGCTTTGAGTGAAGTCATTGGTGGGGACGTCTGGAAGGGAAGGGGAACTATCTGGAGAAAACCCCAAGTCATTATGACTATATAGCACTGGGAAAGGGTCAGGATAAGGATTTGGGATGGGACGGGGGGGGGGGGGGGAAGGAATGGTGCCCAAGCACTTGTGGACGGTCGGGGGATTGAACGCCGACCTGCATGAAGTGAGACCGTCGCTCTACCGTCCACCCTACTCACTTAGTCGTACGTGTGGTGGTTGAGCTTTGGCTCCTTGGTCCCGCCTCTCATCTGTCAATCAACTGGTGTACAGATTGTCTTCGATGATGGTTGAAAGGAGTGGAGAGTGAGGGGGTGGAAGTGGAGGCCGCCGGTGTACAGGTGAACCTGCCTTGACCCCCCCCCCCCCATCACTTTCCCCGCGGTGGGGGGGGGGGGCTTCTCCTCACCTCTAATGGCTGCCAGTTGACGGAGGGAGGCAGTAATGCCACTCACCACCACCACCACCACCACCCTGGTTAGCTTAGCATTTTAAAAGCACCGAATCACCTTCTGTGGTTGATTGTTCAATAAACCCCTGAACACATTGTTTAACACATCTTTCACCCTGTCCATGGAGGACAGACGAAAATGTATACATATGCTGGTTAGCATTGTAAATGTGTGGCCACGTCTGTGGTAGAAAATAATAATAAAAAAACACCCAGGTTATTGTCGCCCCCCCCCCCCACCTTCTATCCCTCCAGCGCCCCCCCCCCCACCTTCTATCCCTCCAGCGCCCTCCCCCCCCCCCCCCCCTCGGCCTCCTCCATCCGCACACGACTCCATCCAGTCCTTCATCCTCTCCTGGTTGATACCTGGTTGATGGGGTTCTGGGAGTTCTTCTACTCCCCAAGCCCGGCCCGAGGCCAGGCTCGACTTGTGAGAGTTTGGTCCACCAGGCTGTTGCTTGGAGCGGCCCGCAGGCCCACCAACCCGTTCTCGCAAATTTAATAAGTCAATATTGACTTATTAAATATGTGCATAGGTGACATACTTAACATAATAGTTTCCCTTGAAAAGCTTCATAGAAAACACCGACCTTACCTAAGCTACTTAGTATGTTAAGATAAGCATCTTATTGCTTCGTAATTACAATTATTACCTAACCTATACCTATAATAGGTTAAGTAACAATTGTAATTACGAAGCTATAAGATGCTTATTTTAACATAGTAAGTAGGTTAGGTAAGGTCGGTGTTTTCTATGAAGCTTTTCAAGGGAAACTATTATGTTTAGTATGTCACCTATGCACGCAACTAATAAGTCAATATTGACTTATTAAATTTGCGAGAACGGGTTGGGCCCACATACCCACCACAGCCCGGTTGGTCCGGCACTCCTTGGAGGAATAAATCTAGTTTCCTCTTGAAGATGTCCACGGTTGTTCCGGCAATATTTCTTATGCTTGCTGGGAGGACGTTGAACAACCGCGGACCTCTGATGTTTTCACAGTGTTCTCTGATTGTGCCTATGGCACCTCTGCTCTTCACTGGTTCTATTCTACATTTTCTTCCATAACGTTTACTCCAGTACGTTGTTATTTTACTGTGTAGATTTGGTACTTGGCCCTCCATCACCATCCTTACTGCCTTCCCCACGTGGTCGCTTGCAGACTGCGACTGTTGTGAGGGGGTCAGTGTATGTCTCAGGAGCGGGGGGGAGGTAAAGTAACGGCAAAGATGTAGATACATCATAGCATTCCGCCCCCCCCCCCCCCTTGCCAGTGTGGTCTAAGTGTGGCATTACTGTCCTAGGTGTTTTCAGTAAGATCTTTATACTGGCCGTCAAGATCAGGACACTTGACCGCCGTGTGTCGGGGTACTCACACCACCACCTTGACAGTTGGGTCACTTGTGGTCTCCGCCTGACGTTAGGGCAGCAGTGGTTGATTGATAAAGCCACCTCAAAGGAGGCACGGGCATGAATAGCCCGTAATGCAGAGCAGGTCTCCAGTGGGGACCATCTCTAAGGGTGCGCCACCCCACTTCGTTTATCGAGCAGTTGTCACTACGTCCCTGGCTGGTACTGTAACACAGTATTCAAGTTGAAGCTTGATACCTTCACCTGTACTAAGTAAGGCGTCTCGACGCGTGAGAACAGTCTCACACTTTATATACAGTCAGTAATTGTATATTATTTGGTATTCCAAAATTCATTGGAGAGCAACTCGTCAACCTTATTCCTGTCTGCATTTTTTTGGTTGACATATTTTGTTCGACCTTTGAATTTTGATGGACTTGTGTAGAGTTGTTTTTGTATTTCATTCATTTACATCAAATGCCACCGACCTGTGGACGTGTTATGTAACTAACATTTGTAGTACCGTTGGTCACCATGGGTGCTGTTACCATCCTACACGCTGCCGTAGTGTACCAACAACTGCATCTCTTACATGTTCTTACTCCAACAACAGTGCTTTGTGTGCTCTCACACAATTAAGCCCAACCACTTGGGCTAAACGGTAGAGCGACCGACTTCATGCAGGTCGGCGTTCCATCCCCGACCGTCCACAAGTGGTTTGGTAGTATTCCTTCCCCCCCCCCCTCCCCATCCTAAATCCTTTTCCTGACCCTTTCCCAGTGCTATATAGTCGTAATGGCTTGGCGCTCCCCCTGATAGTTCACATACAATTACATAACAGAGCACAACACTAAACATTGATCTCTTCCCCTCCCTCTTCCCTTTCTCTTCCCTTTCTCTTTAACCCCTACTTCCCTTCCTCTTTAACCACTTCTTCCCCTCTTTACTCCCTCTTCCCCCTCTTCCCCTCCTCTTTCTCTCCTCTTTCCCCTCCTCTTTCTCTCCTCTTTCCCCCTCTTCTCTGTTCTTCCCCTCCTTCCCTTTGCTTCCCTACCTTCCCCCCGTCTTCCCCCCACTTCCCCACTTCTTGCCCGCCTCTTCCCCACTACCCCCCGTTTCAGGCCACTTGCCTGCCAGGGTTGTTGTAGTGTAACAAACCCGTTGTGTTGTTGTCAACAGGTGTGGGAGGTGTGGGTGTGTGTAGAGAACTCCAGCGACGCTCTTCACCACCACTCGTGCACTTGGCAGCGTGTGTTTATACGGGGGAGTTAAGGTTCAGGTGGAACAACTGCTTCATGGCTCTAATACAATGTTCTCTTCTTCCAG